GGGCCCCCCCCCGCAACTGCTTTCTGGCCTTTTTTTTTTTTTTTTTTTTTAATTTTATTCCGGAGCCTGGCGCGGGTGCCGCTGCCTGGCCCTCGCAGTTAATTGCCTGACCTCATGCTTTCATTATGTAATTTGGGTGGCTCGCTGTTGAAATCCTAATAGGAATTTGTCTCTGCTTTCCCTCCCCAGGAGTTAGGACAGAGCAGGACCTGTACGTCCGTCTAATAGACTCAATGACCAAACAGGTGAGAAAGTTTACGCTTTTCTTAACACGCAAGTTACGGAGTTTGTCTTTCGCCCGGGCAGACCGCACCTACGGCTAATTTACCTGCGCGAGTAGCTCCGACCCCTGGTAGCGGGGGGCTTTCTAAAACGCGCCGGAGGTGCGCTGCTGCTATCGGGGAAGCGTTGGCATCGTTAAATCGCGAGTGTGGCACTAAGTACGGCGTCATGCGAGCAGATGTTTGGCAGAATTAATTTAGCGAGGGAGAGAGGAAAGAACAAAACCCATCGAGCTGCCCAGATTTATTTTTAAATGCACTTTTTGCCCTCGGTAACTTCTTTTGGCGATATTTTTCCTCGGTGAGGAAAGGGCAGCCCTCTTCCTTAGGCACTCCGAAAGCGGCCGGGAGTCGTCCTTTTCTTTTATAATGCGGTGATCTAGGAAGGCGAGACGTTTATTTGGATTTAAAAGTTAAATGTGCTGAGGTGAAAAGTCATCTTGTTCTCCTCTAGTCCATATTCACCTCTCAGCCCCCCATCTCCATAATTCAAACTCCGTGCTCCAGGGGTCACCCAAACCCGTCCATTTCCCTGAGATCAGCTTCTGTTTCTTCCTCAAACCTCTGTCATACCTTGTAAATAACATAATTACAAGCAGTTCCTTATTAAATTATTTAACCTGTCTTGGTCAACTTTGCCGATGATAACTACGTGTTAGCAGCGTTGCACCACAGCAATTAGAGACAGAAAGCCACTTACCAGCTGGGGATTTAATCAACTCTTTTTTTTTTTTTTTTTAATTTTTTTT